GTCTTTAAATAACTGCACCACTTGTTCTAACATGTTCTGCTATCTGAACTTTCTAGGCCACACGCTGAACCACTGGACGGACTGTTTGCCAATGACTCAGGCAGGCAGATTATATATGTTATTAAAGCAACATACAGTATAACATAGTATATGCTGATATTTTAATTACTATATAACTGTGTCTGTATATAATTGTTCATGAAGTCATTCTAGATAATGACCGCTGTATATTTGAAACAAAAAGGCCTCCGTATTAGAATTTGCTCCACATCTGTGCTTAGAAAGTTAAATTCTAATTACATAAAATACAGTACAGCTAAATGCTTTTAACAAGGTCACAGAACCAAAAATATCAACTGCAACCGAGTCCACCTAAAGTGACAACATACAGTAGGCTCCTACTAGTTTAGGCTTCCAGCAGCCATTCATACTGAGCCGGTCATTTATAAGTGTGATGATAACTACCCCGCAGCGCACATGTCAAGGATAAAGTGTATGCAGGGTGTGTGAGGTATTCTTAGCTCCGATGACAGTGCAGCCCATTCACGTCTCTAAATGGTAAGCTGGCTTCAAGACAAGGCCGTGAGTTCCTGTCAAGGTATTGATTTCTGCTTTACTCTGCTTATTTCTTTTCTTACTGGACACTGCAAGGGAATGCTTTGCAGAAGTAGTATTAAAACTCAAGGATTAGAATTTTAAGGTAAAATAGATTTGACACATGCTGAATACCCCTGAGTAATAAGAGCAGGAGGCCAAGAGAAAATATGTCAAACGTACTGAAAGATCAAGTGTTGGTAGTATTCTAAATGTCATTCATGGTATCAGATGAGGGCATATTTTAGGAAAGGCAACCTTAGGAGAGCCACATGCAGGAGTAAATAGATATCACACTATTAAAACACTCACATCTGCTTTTCTTTAAACATGACAGACATCATTATGCAGTCAAAGAAGGGAAGTTCCAATATCTTAGGAACATTTTTATATATGAAAGTAAGAATACATTGGATCTTCATGGGTAACATGTCATTTGACACAAAGTCAATATAAAGCTGTAGCTCTGGAGTGGCTGCTTAAAAGGGTCCGCTTCCACCTCCGAGGTCAGATGCGTTCAGAGTTGTTCTCCTTCAACAGGAAAGGTTCGGTTAGCAGTTGTCATCCTCCAGGATGTCTGGGTGCTCCTCCCAGAACTGCTCTCCTATAAGGTCACAATGGTAGGCCTCTACCCTCCTCCTGCTACGTGTGACGGGCATGTCCTTTTCCTCCCCATTTGGCAGCTTTGTGCGTTTAATGACAGTCTCATCTCGCTAGATAAGACAAATGAGAAAATTGATTAATATAAGTAGTAACATTTGGAGAATAGATAAGCAGTACATAATCAATCAGTCCGGTATCCAAACCCTGTAAAATTATTTTGTGGGATTTGGTTTTGAGTGCATTTAAAAAAAAAAAAAAAACCCTCAGAGGAGCTGGTGCAGTGTGATGCAACCTAACTTAAATTTCTATGAAACCAGCGTTTCCTGCAGTTAGTGTCAGGTCTACATCCGGTGCCACAGCAAGTGGCAGCCTGACACACTACACATTACAGTGATTTATACTTTGTTATTTATTTATACATTTGATCCTATGAAAATCTCTTCTTTCCTTTTCTTTGTTTTTGTGTGAGTTTAAATTTCCCTTTCACAACCAAGGAGCATCTAACTGCATAAATAAATGTCCTATTAAAGGAAATGCTACTATTACATGAAAAAGAAATTTCTAAAAATGGCTTCTTGTTATGTTAGTGGCAGAACTCTTTTTTTCTTACACTCCATCCACAATGTGAGGTCATGTGCAATAAAAAAAAGTGCATGCAGCTGCTGACATTTCTCTTTCATGTACAACAACAGAAATACCAATAAAAGGGGAAAAAAGGCAGTGTGGTGATTTTAATGTTTCAATCTCAGACTTCACTGCTTCTAACAAGAAGAAAAACAGACACCATTTGAAAAAGCGAGCCGTTAGTGTGCTTAAACATGCAAAAACAACCACAGACTATATAAATATGGTTACACCCATGGCCCACTGGTTTGTGGACTACTGTTTTGAGTTTGAGAGAGAGGCATTTTGACTGGTGTTATAAATCCTGATCTAACTAGCGAGGGGTGGATGTGACGGAGAAGAAAACTGATGTTGCACCATACAATAGCAATCTATCAACCATAAGGCAGCCATTCTAAAATGCATACCCTGCTTTAACATCTATTTCACAGGAAATTTGGGAATAACTTAAAAAAAATAAATAAAACAATGTGTTATGTTAAGGTAGGACTTTCAAAGTTTCAAAAGGTGCGACTTTTACTTTGAAGGCTAATCTTCCCCCTATCCAATTTGCGTCACACTTTCTCAAGTTATTACTGTTACGCTAGTAGTTAGCAAAAGCTTGTGGACAAACAGGAAGAACTGCAGGCAACCTTGGAAACCTGCTAGCAACCAAAGCAATCACTATGAGTTTTTGGGTGCACCATCTTCTTTGCAAATATTTCACCAAGGAAGATCCAGCAACCTCCAGGTACTCCACTGCCAACCAGTAGAAGAATACACATGTTTCCCTACTGGTCCAATATGGCAGACAAATCTTAAGCAATGTCTACGTGATGTGAATGAGAAACCTCATAACAAGGGAATTGATTTATGCAAGCACAAGAGTTGATCCTGCTGGCTATTTAAAAGAATTCAGGTTTTTAGGCATTTTTTTTAAACCTTGGACTCAATTTCTGGACAACAACAAACTTCTATGTACAGGTTCTGACGTCACCTCAAACGGTTAAAAGGTTTTGCCCTAACTTTTTGACACAGAATTTGGTGCATTGCCGCAGGTGGAGCAATTCGTCTGGTTAATTCCAACAAAAAACTCTGACATATTAACTAGGTACTGAACCCCCATGCAGACTGAGTCCAATTTCTTACAGGGACAAGTGGCGTTCATGCACATTAGATTAAGCAATAATAGATTTCGTGCCATGGATGTCCAGGGCTGCACGTGTACCGCACTGATTGGATCAGCGTGTCCCTGCACTTCACTGAGAGGCATACCTAACCTGATGAATGGAGGTGGGCGGACTGATCAAAATATCAATACTATTGACACAAATGCCTGTATCGGTATCGGACTGATAATTGCGTGATAGGATCTATACTTTGTTTCTATCCTTTGAGTTTAGTAGATAGCCCACGGAATAGGGGAATAGATTTAAAACCCTTCTTGAGCACCTCACCTTTTCCCAGATGAGGGTGGTACCTTTCTTGTGGACGGCAGATTCATTGTTGTAGTTGATACCAAATTCTGTGAAGAGGATCTCATTTTTATCTCCAGCCAATGTTCCCTGAAAAAGGCAGAAATACTGTGAGACAGCCAAACTTAGGTGTGTAGCTACACAATCCCTCACATGGTCTTTAGATAGTACAGTTTTATAAACAGCTACAACAAAAGCATGACAGGAACACCACCGCCCACCAAACCGCTGGTTATATATAGTGGCTGTTTCTTTTACTTCGGAATTAAAACTAGAAGAAAATCAACAAGAAATAAATAGTAAACCACTCTGTCATTTTTTTGTTATTATTTGTTGTTGTTATTATTACGTAGGAATTATGAACCATGAATGTTGGATAAGGTATAAATAAATAACTCATGCTGCCTAAACATCCACCCAAAACCCATCAGCTGGTTCCAGACAGCCCCCACAAGAATGAGGTGATTTCCAGAGAACAGCTGCGTCAGTCTGTAGCAGCTGTCATAGCTAGTGACAGACCTGTTCCTGTACACACTATTTTAATGCACAGTAATAAATTGTTCACAATGACGTAGCTGAAAGCTTACATCTTTTAAATAACCTCTTTGTTTACTCGGATGAAATATCAGAAATAGTACCTTGAAACTTATCAGCCCCTAAAGCCAAGTGTTGTGTAAGTATATAAGTGATATTATTAAATGGAGAAGATGTTTGTTTTGTTTTTAAACTGAAATTATACTGATAGATGAATTTTTACAATTAAGACATTCTTAGCTAACGAATCAACCAATTTATTCATTTTCACAGTCCGGGTAGGTAAACTTATATATTTGGGTTTATTACTTTTTGCCAGGTCATGTAAGTTTGTGTTGATGGATAGCTCTACTTGTTTGTTATTGTGGTCTTGGCTCACTCATTTTATACTCTGATTTTTGGGAAATCTGTTGTTCAATAAATATAACACTAATACATAACTAAGAAGTTGTTCTTATGGCTACTTGGGACTCAGGGGAAGGGGATGCTTTTTTCATATTGTGCCAACTGGGGGCTCATCGCCTGTTTCCTCGCTTTTTGGTGGTCTGGTGAGTTATTTGTTTCTGGTTGGCAGTTTTCTATAGCGTGTGGGGAAATAATGGAAATAATCCCTTTCCTAATATTTTTGGGACATCACCTTCCTTCTAGGAAATGTTAAAAGGGCAGATTTGCTTACTGTGGCTAATTCACAATATTCAATACCCTAAATTAACCTTTTAATTTACAAGTAATAGATAATACATAACTATATCAGCACCAGCCATCACTGCCACTAGCTTGTTCCTGATGCTGTTTAGGAGACCAGATACTCGTAGTTGAAAAGCTTTATACCTACCATAACATATCTGTAGCCAGAAAGAAAAAATCACCAAGTATGGCAATCAATTATCCTTTATATGGCACATTTTGAGAGATGTGAGCATTCACTGTTGTTTTTTTCTGACACATGATCAGCTGATATGGATCTACAAAACATGCTGCTGGAATCTATTGGTAGGTAGAAGCCAGTGTGTCATTTGGGACATGGTACACTTTGAATACTGTGTGGATGACCTTGACTATAAGCGACAGTCTTTAACATATCGATGCTTACAACCTTAAATATGTGGGCATTACCTTAATATGATTTTTTGATGATACCTTTTTCAAATACTTATATCTGTTAATAAGCACTTGCAGCTGCCAGTTTACACTCAAAAATACATTAATCAATTGTGTTTCACCTTTAAGCGATCCTCTGCCTGTGTTGTGCTGAGTCCTTTTCTTTGCACTAACATCCAAAACACTGTGTTGTACAAATTATTTATGTGACCTGAAAGAAACAGAGACACAATGTGACATATTTCCACCACACCAAATGTGTGATTTACCATTCAGAGCATCATTTGCACTTACAGTCTGCCTGCCTCCAGCTAAGGTAGTCTCTAAGGTTACGATTGCTAGGATATAGGACCACCCGTCCGTCAAATCCCGGAGGGTACAGGAGGGGCTGATTCTCAAAAAACTCCTTCCAGTAAAACACGTACGAGGAGGAGAACTGGGAGGCCACGTGGGTCATGAGCTTACTGTAAGGAAAAGAGGGGACAAAATGAAGTCAGATAAAATGCTAGAGGATGTCTGTGTGAAAATGATGTTATTCAACATTATGTAAAACATCAGCACCTGGCTCTTCTTTTGAACCAGGTAGAAGACCGGTTGAAAACAAAGCTGAACTCATCACTTTGCCCATAGGCAACAACAATATCCTCCAGTTCTTCCATGACAGAGCGTGCACTCCTTGTCATCAGCCCCAAGGCCCTGTCGTCATTGGGCTTTGCAAACTTGTGCTGCTCTGCAAACCTGAAACACATAATGCATTAAGACGCCAAAACAACAATTTGGATTCAAATAGCTCCTTCATTTGCGCTGGTGTGAAACTGCCCAGGCGGTTTCACACCAGCGCAAATGAAGAATACTCACTTGTGAAAATTGCGACCATCCAGTCTCACGACAATGTAGCAGTTCCGCAGACAGGTGTCATCTGTTTCGAAGTTGCGCACATACTCAAACTTACTTTTGGCCATGTTACTGGATCTGGAGAAAAGACGGACCGAAGGTGTAAGAGAACAGCACGAAACACCAAATCTGCTCGCTGTACTAATTAGCATTGGGATGATCCTGAAGAGAAAGCACAAGGAGCGAAAATTATATGTCAACAGTGGGAAAATATTCAGTCAAAACGGACAACTACTATGATATAAAAAACTAAATTCAATAACTTCAAATGATGGAAAGTGTTATTATTAAAATGATCTGTGTTATACGCATGTCAGTTCTCTATTTAGAGAATATATAAACTAAATATATCTAAATAATAAGAATAATTCTCTTCCGCACATTCAAACACGTTGGTTTGTATACGGTCCGCCCAAAAATTGTGTCGTAGCGGAACTACAATCACCCGGAACACAAATTTTCGGAGCAACGGTAGACTTAAAATAAAACGCAAATAATTTCCCGTTTCTTCAGCCACCTTAAAAATAATGCTTCAATTTTAAATTTTTTTGGATGCTTTGCGGAATTTTTTTTTTTTAAGTTTTAAAGATTTTACGAAAGTAATTTGCTTTCTAGCGCCATCTTGTGCCTAAATAGAAACTAAACTAGATACTGTACATCTAGGAGGCTATGGGACTTGTAGTCCAGTTGATAAACACGACAAAATACCCAGAATTCCTCGGTTGTTTTGAACATGGAGGAGAGGGAAAAAAGAAGTGTAAATTCAGACTGTAAGGAGACGTTGTCAGCACCCTGCTCCAGCCCGGCCTCAGTGCCGGAGGCTGGCAGTAAAGCCGAGGACGATGGCGCAGATGAACTGGACGTCTGCTCGGATAAATTTGATCCACTCTTGGCCTTGTACTCACCGACAGTGCAGCTTCCCATCCCAAACATCAAGTGCTTCAACAACGTGGCCGAGTACGAGAGCTTTCTGAAGGGCGGCCGCGGGAGAGCTAAACCGGAGAACGTGGAGAAAAGGCAGCGTAAGGCGATGAAAGGCGTGGTTGACCTGGAGCGCATCGAGAGGCTGAAGAAACTCATGGTGAACAACCCGGTATCTGAGTCAGAGGAGGGAGGAAGCAGCAGCGGCACGACGCGGAGGAAGAGGAGGCAGAAACCTGTGAAAAATGTCCTGACGAGAATGCCCCGTAGGTTCAACACTCATCATGTAATGTGTTGGAGACCTAGTCCCGCCTGGGCAGTTTCACTGAGCCGCTTTAAACTTTAAAGGAGACACTAGAATACGATATTTGTATTTATTAGAATACACTAAGAACTGACAGACTACCCCAAATAAACCGACAAATAAAATAAAATGTCCCAGTAAAATAGGACTACTGGAGTAATAAAAGACGCAGAATGGCTTCAGTATTGGTTGGCAGGTTCCTAGCTGTGGTTTACGTATACCCGGAACCCCTTTGCCCCCAATAAAATTATATATATATATAAATATAATATATATCAGAATCAGAATACTTTATTAATCCCTGGGGGAAATTATTTTTTGTTACAGTGCTCCATTTTAAACCAACATTAAGACAAGACAGACAATACACTAACTAAGAATAGTACAATATATACATATATACACATACATAC